GAGAAGCAGTTCACAGGAAAAAGATGAAAATCCAGTTCCTGGAAAATAGGAAAGACATTGTGGAGAGAGGAACATTTAAGATCAACTCAAGAAAAGTGGGTAACAAATTTTAATTCCTGAAAAGGGCTTGAAAAATATTTAAATTTGGCAGGTTTCTGGCAGGAAATAGATGGTAATAGAAAAGAATAATTGTTAATGTAATTGACTCTTCACTAATTAGAGTAGAAGAACTGTGAAATTACTGGAAATATTTGATAACGTTAAAACACCCACTGATTATAAACACTTTTTAAAAAATGTATGTAACTGGCCCTCCCTGGTGGCGCAGCGGGTTAAAGCACAGCACTGAGAAGCTGAAGCCACTTCCGCATGAGTTCAATTCCCACCTGCCTTGGAGGTGACCACATGGCGTGGCAGACCTCTCCTGGCCCGCCTGCTGCTCCCCTCAGCAGTGTACTTCGTAGATTTGCCTGTTCTGCTCCCCACTCTGTGTCTAGGGAAGCCTTTCACCGCCCCTGAGCCTCTGGCCGGTACCCCAGTTCTGTATGAACAAATAAATAAAGCTTTAAAAAAATGTATGTAACTAATTCATTTTAGAGATATTTTATGTTCCCAGGAAAATTGAGAGGAAGGTGGAGATTGCACTTGGATCTCAGACCCCGCACTTGCCTGTTATCAGTATTTCCCACCAGAGTTATATTTGTTGCAGTTGATGAACCTACGTAATTATCACTCAAAGTCCATAGTTACAGAAATGTTACTTTCTGAAATTAAATCTATGCATTTGAAAAAATATATAAAAAACATATCTCCATCATTATTATATCATACAAATAGTGTTACTGCTTTAAAAATCTTCCCTCCCCTCTAAACCCTGGAAAACTATAGATTTATTTTATAGGCCTAATTTTGTCTCTCTAGTTTTGTCTCTTTCATAGTTGGAATCATAGAGGGTGTAGTCTTTTCAGATCGGCTTCTTTCAGTTAGTCATATGTATGAAAGTTTCTTCTATGTCTTTCATGACTTCTCAGCTCTTCTCATTTTAATTCTGAAGGGCCCCTTGGGTGTTTCTGAGTGCTGGTAATTATGAACTTAGGTGCTGTCACTTCGATTCCTATTTAGGCTTTTGTATTTGCATTTTCTATTCCGTTGGCTAAATACCAAGGAATGCTTTTGCTGGGTCATACTGGTAAGATTCTAGTTTCATAAGAAATCATCAAACTCTCTAAAGTTGCTGTACACTGTGCATTTCTATCAGCAGTCAATGAGGATTTGTGTTACTTCACATTCTTTCCTGTATTTTCTGTTATCAGTGTTTTGAACTTTGGCAATTCTATTAGGTATATAGTAGTGTTCATCATTTTAGTTTGCATTTCACTGATGACATACCATGTGAAGTGTTTTCTCATATGTGTATTTGTCATCTTTATATTTTCTTTGGTGAGGTGTCTGTAAAGATCTTTATTTTATAACATATTAAATCTCTGAATATCTGATTCATTCACCAATTCCTATAATTGAAGTTTAGAAACATTTTTTCTCTTCAAGAAGACAATGAAAAGGGAACTCTCTCATTTTATGATTTCTTGGTTTTCATGTGTGTGTTTGTGTGTGTATATGTGTGAAGGTCTTATGATGTTTGAGCTTATGACTATGTAGCTAAATCAAAGAACTGGCTCAAGTATGGAAACTGGATGATGGAGCATGACAACTCACCTGGGCATTCACTCACTGCTGTGGACTGTCTCATCCCCAATCTAAATACACATGTGATGGAATTTGGAACAGATCCTTTGGGAGGCAATTAAGTCATGAAGGTAGATGTGATTAGTACACTAATAAGAGACACAAGTGTGTTCTCTTTCTCAAGATACATTGAAAAGCAGTCATCTACAAATCAGGAAGTGGGCTCTCACCAGACCATATGTGTTGGTGTCTTGATCTTAGCCTTCCCAACCCCCACAGTTATGAAAGCTAAATGTTTGTGTCTAAGCCATCCAGTCTATGGGATTTTTACTGTGGCAAACAAAACTAACTAAGATACATTTTTATCTTTGAGGTAAGTTACATAGGGCAAACCATATCTTCTTTGGCTCCCCTTCTAGATTTCTCCTAAAAAAATTAAGGTTTCTTTAGCTTTAATGACCAATCCTGCAGGCCGGGGTGACTTGGTTGTCATTCTGGTCTTGTTACTGTTTATAGCAATTACATTTACTGTTAAATGCTGTCACCTTTTCTCTGGTTTTATAGAATTCTATCTTCTTTGTGCTTAGGAGACACATTATCATAGCAACATTCCTTATTTTCAATCCTAGCCTACAAAAGACAACTACCTGTTAGTTTCCTGATAATGACAGATGTTTGTTTTTTTCTCCATTCATACCCTTTTTTTAGTGTATTTCTCACTTCTTTAGTCAAGAGAATGTCTTCAGAACATTTAGAAAGTATTGTCTGCTTCTGACTTCTCTGGATAAATTCCATTCTAGCAAAATTAAACAAAAATGCAAGACCCAGGGCCCTCCCTGGTGGCACAGTGGGTAAAAACGCAGCACTAAGAAGCTAAGCCACTTCAGCATGAGTTCGAATCTCGCCTGCTCCGGAGGTGATCCACATAGCATGGCAGACCCCTGCTGACTGCCCCCCTACCCCCCACTGCTCCCCTCCACAGTGTGCTTCATCTGTCGGCCTGTTCTGTTTCCCCACTCTGTCTCTGGTAAATTATCTTCCCTGTACCTCTGGCCTGTACCCCAGTTCTATATGCATAAATAAATAAATCTTTAAAAATAATACAAGACCCCATTAATGCTATCTATTAGACATTCATGAGAACTATTAGAAACTTTAAATGTAAGCACATTGTTTAGCTTAGATGTAAAGAGATAGAAAATATATGCCATGATAATACTAATCAAAAGAAAAGGTGGAGTGGCTAGTTTCATATAAGATTAATTAAATTTTAGATCAAAAGTAATACCAGAAACAAAGGACATTTATTAACAACATCATCAATTCATAAGAAGTATGTAACTACTTCTGCCTAATAAAAACAAATCTTTAAAAGATGTGAAACAAAAACAGAATAGAGGACTGTGACTCTGTTTTTGTAACTGGAGTTTGTCTTCTGCTTACTCAACTTAGAACTTATGCTTTTTGCAGATCATGTAAGAAATCTAATATACTGACCACCTGTTTTGCTTTTAGAGACCTCTTGATCAACCAGTCAGTTCCATAGATCTGATTACTGCTCTTTAAAATTACTGCTTTACTTCACTGTTCATTATAAAACCACACTCATTTTGTCTTCAGAAATAAAGTACTATCTATTCTTTAGCCCTATGACCTTGAGATCCAATTATCTTTCTTGTATTTAAGAGTACAAGTTCAGTGGCAACAGTTATTACCATAATTTCTGATCTTACAGAGAAGAGCAACCACAGAGCTCTTAAAGGATGTTGGGGTTTCCCTCACAAACTTATTTCTCACAGTAATGGTGAAAGTTCACCTATGGTAGATGAACGGGTCTTACATGATAAATCCAATCTCTCTATGCTTCTAGGTGCCTTCCCCTATGTAGACCAAAGCAGTTCTGACATCAATTTTTATTTAATTTAGATGATCATTAGGTCCATGTTTCAGCCCAACAAATGAATAGCTGTTAGAACCCTTTCTTAACCCTTAAGTTACAGCATTGGTTGAAAATCTCTGCTTTGTAGATCCACATCAATAAAAGAAATCCGGTTTAATGTCATGTTTCATTCACTTGAATGTCACATCATTAATACATATTACCCCATATGCAAATATCCTCCAGATTTATAACTTCACAAACTGGAAAGAAATTGTATAGTTTTTCTGGTGTGCCATGCACCTCCTGTGGGTCATACTTTGTGCCTCGCTCCTGAAACCTGTTGGGATTTGATTCTAGCTATAGGTCTTGAAGGAAATTCCTGAAGCAAACAACAGTGTCTTTCAAAACATCTACCTTTACAGGAATCTGTTAGATGTTCTTCAAATACAGTTTGCTTGACCTCTTCAGACAGGAGTAGAAGATGGCTTCTATAGGTAAAGAAGACTCAGCAGAATTTGGGAGTTTGATGTCCCCCAAAACACTTGGATCTGTTCATATGCCCTAATTCCAGTTTTTAGGGTCACATTTCTACCTGAACTTTAGAGAAAATACTCTGTCAGTTTAGGAATCCGCTGTAATTTGGCCACATAAGATTTGCTATTTCAGAAATCTCAGACCTGTTGTTACAAGAGTTAAGATTTACTTTCAGAGAAGACACAGATGTTTTCTAGTCATTTATGCAGAGCTTGAGCTGGGAATTTAAAGCACTGAACTAAGCTTCCTCACCCTACTTTCTCCAGTGTAATTAGGAGGCAGTAACTAATTTCATTACACTACATTGTAGTAAATTATCAACAAATGGCCACCCCAAGACTTGAGTGGTAGTGTATAATAGTGTTAGTAATAGATCAGCAATGGGTTCATGATTTCCTACCCCCTCATCATTTTTGGCCTTAGGTAATTGCTCTTACTGTTTTGTAGATGTAGTTAGGCTTTGAAATAAGGGTTATTGTATTTCACATCTCTAAGTACGTTTTTAGGAGGAGAATTTTTGCTTATCTTTTCCACAGTAACTCTAGAAATGGAACTTAACTCCTGGGCCTACAATCCTGAATTCTCCTACTGATTGAAGGTGGGCATGTTTAGTAAAATACTCATAGAGTCCTGATTTGTTATAATGACATTGAATTAATCATTTATTCATAGCTGTATAAATCATCTTTTAAAAACCTAACAATGTTTTTACCCAGTTATGTTATCATTTCTATTTTCTCTCATATAAATGCTTTTGTAGCTTTTTGTGTAGTTAATTTAAGGAACTGATTTTGTTTTGTTATTATCTTATATGAAATCAGGGGATGTTGCATCATTTTAGTTAATAACATTTTTTATTTTTCTCTGTATTTCTTCTCTGAATATTTTCTGTCTGCAGGTAATAATTCACACCTGGTGACACAAATTCAGAATCAGCAAATGAAGGTACCTTCAGAATCACCTGCTGAAGGTAAAGTGCTTATTTATTACTTGTTTGGGAGGCTTGGACCATTGACAGAAACATTTATATGACAATTTGATCTGTGAGATTCTATTCACTATTGCTTGAAGATCAATTTAGCCAATTTAATTGAATAATAACAGCAACAACAAAACCCTATAGGTTGTTCATTATTACTGAGAATTGGTCAACATAGTCTCATCTTGGAGCAGAGAAGTATACAATAATTATATCACAAAGCATACTAAGATGAGTTCTATCACCAAAATTGATGTATTAGAGAGAGTAAAATTGATGTATTAGAGAGAGTAAGTTTTTGAGGTAGTTCTAGGAGGAGCCCGTAGGGCAAACATGATGGGGAAAGTAGAGCAAGGATTCACTTGTGGGCTAAGGTACAAAGTAGAGAGAAGGCTTCAGCCAATGGAAGGAGCCTGGGGTTTAGGAGTTTAATTTACCTGTTGTGAGAAGTGAACAAGAAAAGTCAAATTGTAGTCAACTGGTGGAATATGGAACAAGAGTAGGTATGAACTCAAAGGAATTGATGAATGAAGACTAGACAATGAAAATTTATAGATAATTCTAATAACATTTTTGGTGGGAAAAGAGCCTAATAGTTTAAATGGTAGAAAAAAGGAAATTCACAAATGTACAAAACATGGTGAGAAAATAGACATAACCGCACGCATAGAAATATATGAGAATATATTGTAGAAGTCACTGTTATTAAATAAAACACTTTTTGAATAAAAAAAATTTTCTAAGGGAAATCTAAATTACCAACTTGGTTCAAGCAAGAAATTGAGAGTTATTGTCAGAAAATATATGGCCTCAGGCTGCTACATATGAGAAATCTTTCACATTCCTTGAACATTTAAGGAATAGCATAAAGAAAGGAGAAAAGTCTTGGAATTTTTATAAGCACAATTCTGATACCAAATTCTGATGAAGTTGTCATATAAAACACATTTCTAGGCCAGTTTTTCTTGTAAATGTAGATGCAAAAATCTGAATATATATAATATTAGCACATCAAATATATAAAGTATTCAAAAAATTGTTCAAGTAAAATTTTCAAGAACAAAATAGTTGTTATTAAACAATTTATCATATTTCACCTCATTACTGGAGTACAGGAGAAAAAATAGTTCATAAACATTCAATATGTATCATAAAATGTTTGCTACAATTTACCATCAATTCATAACCATAAAAAATCCATAACATGATAACAATTTCCAAGTCAAACCAATAAACATACCATGATTAGTGATAAGAAATGAAAGTGTTTCCCCTGAAGTCAGGAAATGTGACTGTTTTACCTAGCACCTGTACACACACACACACACACACATACACACACATACACACACACAAAAATTGTCTTGGTCAGCATAGGTTAGCAAACAAAATAGCACAGGCTGGTTGTTTAAACAAGAGACATTTACTTTCTTAAAGTCTGGAGAGTACAAATCCATGTTCATGGTTCAGTTTCTGGTGTGGGCTCTCTGGGTGATTTGCTGTATTCTTGCTATGTCTTAGCTGGCCTCACTTTGGTGTGTGATTGAGGAGAGAACAAGTCAGCTCTCTGGTGTGTCTTCTTATGAACACCCTGAGACTATTAAATCAAAGCCCCATATGTAACCTGAATTATTTTCTTACAGGTCCCATTTGCAAATACCGCCCCACTGAGAGGGCCTCAATGCATAAATTTTGTGGGGATACACATATATTCCCACACTGGCCCTGCCCCAATCCATGTTCTTTTCACATGCAAAATACATTCATTACAACTTATATTCCCCCAAAGCCTTAACTCATTACAGAATCAACTATAAAGTCTAACATCCAAAGCCTATCTAAATGTTACCCAAATTAGGTCTATTGATAAGTGAGAATTACTGGAGGTAGCATTCATCCTGAGGCAAAATTCATCATCAGCTGTGTGTGGTAAGAAAAGACAAGTTATATGCTTTTAAAGTATAACAGTAGGTCAGACATAGGATTTCCATTTTCATTTCAAAAGAGGGAAATCCGAAAGAAGAGAAGATGACCCATCACAAGAATGTCTAGAACTTTTGTTAAAAGTCATGTGACATCAAGTTTTTCTGAGAGCTTGAATGAACTATGTTGCAAATGCTCAATTGCCATGAATTTTACTTTCTCAATACCAGATAATTAGCATAATTCATTGGTTATAAAATCATTGTTTATTCCTGGGCATATTTTTAAAATCACACTTGAATGTTACAAAGAATATTAAGAAATGCTATCAAGATAAATGTAAACAAAAAACAGTTTAGTGATCCATTTTCCTCATATAACAACCAATGCCTCAGATTGAAGTTAATAGTTTCAGTATGTGCTGAGTCTACTTAGTAATAGAAGGTTGCTAAAAGCTTGAGAAGTGCTGGCATTTATGACTAACTGCACGGGTAGGGAAAACAAATGAGAGCACTAATATTTATTGAAACAACTTTGCTTTTCAGATATTTTAATCCTTATAGTATTTTAATGAGATAGACATTTCCATACCCACATTTTTTTTTTCCTGAAGGGAGATGACAATTAATTTCCACATGATTAATAAAGAGCAGAGTTAGTGTTTGAACATTTGAAATTTATGTCTTAAACACTTGCTTATTTATGGCATCTTCTTGATGCTTGGGGATTATTCTGAGGTAAATTATAAGGGAGGGATGAATCATAACCACTAATAGTTTAGTTCTTTTGAAGAACTAAAGGCTGAAGTTCTAAAGGAAATGTTCCAGGAGAAATTTGAAGACTGCAAGAAAGTCAGGGTACTAAAAGAAGGGTAAGTAGCATACATCTCTTTCCAGAGGTATGGTGTTTCACCCTTAGTTTTTTGTTTTACTCTAAATCTCTTTATGGTATTGTTTCAGAGCAACCCTGGTGGAAATGGGGGTGGTCGTTTGTGACTCTTCACTCTTGTGCCTAGGAACTTAGGCAAAACTCAAAAGCAGACACACAGAAATAAAAAGAGAAAGAAAGAAAGAAAAAGGTTTATTTACAAAGAGAGAGAACAGAAGGATTGTCTGACTCATTTTACCAGCAACTACCTAAGCTGAGAACAGGATGTATTTTATACGATTATAAAAATCAATGGAAAATATATTAAAGACTTCAATCTAAGCCTTGAAACTGCAAAACTCTTAGAAGAAAAGCCCCTTAACATTGGTCTTGGCAATGTATTTTTAATATAATATCAAAAGTATAAGCAATGAAAGAAAAAAACAAGTGGTATTACATAAAATTAAAGTGTTTCTGCATAACAAAGGGAGCAATCAAATAAATAAAAACATATCTACTGAATGGGACAATATATTTTTAAATTACATATTTTATGAGGGTCTTAATATCTAAAATATATAAGGAAATTCTACAACTCAGAAGCAAAATAACCTATATCTATCTAAACAATGGATAAAGGACCAGAATGCATGTATCTCCAATGAAGACATATATATGGTGAACAAGATTAACAAAAGAACTACCCCTCACTAATCACCAAGAAAGTTCTAATCAAAATCACAATGAGGTGCCCTCCTTGTGGCACAGTGGGTTAAATAACAGCATTAAGAAGTTAAAGCCACTTCTGCATGAGTTCGATTCCCGCCTGCCCCGGAGGTGACCACATGGCGTGGCAGACCTCTCCTGACCCACCCGCTGCTCCCCTCAGCAGTGCACTTGGTTAGTCCGCCTGGTCTGCTCCCATCTCTGTTTCTGGTGAATCCTCTCACCGCCCCTGCACCTCTGGCCTGTACCCCAATTCTGTATGCATAAATAAATAAATCTTTAAAAAAAATCACAATGAGATATTATCTCACACCTTTTAGGAAGGCTATTATAAAAAAAACAAACATCAAAAGAGTTGGCAAAGCATGTGGAGTAAAGGGCATTCTTGCCGTTAGCAAATATGGATGGCTCTGGAGGACATCATACTGAATGATAAAAAAGTCATTTATAGAAAGACTTACATTTATCATCTTACATAAACTTGGAATGTAAAATAGACAAATGTACAGAAGTAGAGAGTAGATGGTGAGTGTGAGGGACTGGGGAAGTGGGAGTTGGAGATATGATGGCCAAAGTGTATGAAGTTTCAATCATGCAAGATAAACAAGTTTTGGAGATTTTCTGTGTTATATTGAAATACTATATGTATGCTGGAAATTTCCTAAGGACTAGATCATATTAATAGTTCTCATCACATACAATAATAATGATAATAGCAACAAAGGAGGACAGGAGAAATTTTGGATATGATGATGGCTATGTCTTCTGTTTTGATGGTGGCAATCATTTCATGGATATATTTATATGTATATTCATATGTATGTATCTTTTTACAGGTCACTTATATCTCAATGAAGTGGTTAGTTGTTTTTTTTTTAATCACTGCCCCTTTGATGTCAGTAACATCAGACATAGACTGTTAGTTTGCTAAGATTGCCATAACAAAATACCAAACTGAGTGCTTTGGCAACTGAAATTTGTTATCTCATCAAGGTGTTAGCCTGGCCAAGTTCACTCTGAGGAAATGTTAAGGGGAAGGATGTCCTAAAGGAGCTCTGTGCAGAGTCTTGTGGACCCCACCCCCTACTCCAGCTTTCTGAACTCTATCCCCTACTCTTGTGATTGGAAACTACAACTCCCAGCAGCACCAGGGAGAGAATTGCGAGGACTCCAGGGTGGAGCTAGTAGGAATTCTGGGATATTGGGGGGATAAATAGGGTGTGATTGCGTTTCGCTCTCTCTCGCTTGGGAAATAGCTCTCCAGACCATGTGACTGGGTGTTTTCAGTCAGCTGAGCAGGTAAGGTATTCCAGTTACTTTGTATTCCCTTCTCTTTCCCTGGGTTGTTTCCTAATCCCTTCCCCTTTTGTAAATAAACCCATTATTGACCCTTTTGTGTGTGCCTGCAGTACAACTGAATTTTCAGCATGTGGGTGAGGCCCCACAGACACACAGCCCAGAATTTAATATTTTCTTCTATCTTCTGTCATTCCTTTGGTGCTCGTGGTAACATAAGTTCAGTTTAATATGGTGTCCTCCTCTGTGCACATCTGTGTCCAAATTTCCCCATTTTGTAAGATGTGTAAGTTATATTGGATTAGAGATTTACTCCAGTGACCACATTTTATCTAATTATATCTGCAATGACCCCACTTCCAAATAAGGTCACATTTTGAGATACTAGAAGTTAACACTTCAGCATGTGTACTTTGGGGGGGGGGACATAATTTAGCCCACAATAGGCAATGATCTGCATTAAAGTAATGGTAGTTTTTACTGGTACACAGCTTAAGAATGTCTTTGATAAATCAACAAAATATTCAATTTTATGAAACTTTAACACTTGAATACATGGCCTTTTTACTAGTCCATGTGATGAAACTAGAAAGACATTTTCTTGCATGTAAAAGTATGATTACCTTAAGGAAAATCACTTGACTTTAATTATCTTTTTAGATCTGAAATGGGTAAAATATTTATTCAAGAAAGGCTTTTATGTGACTTTGAGTAAGATCATTTAAAAAGCATTGACAAATGTTTATTCTCCTTTTGTGTGTGTGTCTAGCTAACAGACCCCAGCCTGCACTAGAGGGTACAAAGGTAGTGTTCTGCTGCCCTCCGGTCCAGGGCAGCCTTATGTTGGTAACATGGATAATATTCCTCAGAAACAGGCTTCCCTGCACCAAAGTCTACAGGGAAGATAGAAGAGAGACCAAAGAAGGAAACTGTTCTGACCCGAGAATAACCTGGATCTCCGGACGTGACCAGAACCCTGCCGTGCAGATTGATCCAGTGTCCCTCAACTCACGATGGGAATTACACTTGTGAATTGGTAACAGCTGAGGGGAATTTCCGCTATGGATATCACCTCCAGGTGTCAGGTAAGGAACACCAGAGGCTGAGGTGTTTCAGATAGCCCGATAGGGGCTGAGACAAACGTCTCTCTAAATTCCATATCCCCTGTGTAAAGACTGAAGCATTTCCCCTGCTTCTCTGCAGTGCCCCCGAAGGTGAGCCTGGACCTGGGCAAGAACAGAACGACAGTCTGCAAGGCAGTCGCGGGGAAGCCGGCAGCACGGATCTCCTGGACCCCAGGGGGAGACTGTGTCACTGAGGAAGAGCCGTGGGACAATGACACTGTGACTGTCCAGAGTACGTGCCACTGGGCAGAAGGGGATGTGTCTGCTGTGTACCGCTCTGTTTTCCATTTGACTGGCAACAAGAGCCTGTCCATAGAGCTTAGTCAAGGTAAGGCCTGTTTCCTTTAGAGTAGTGAATGTGATGCTAGCCTTGAACGCTGAAGAAAATAATGAATAGTTATTTTCAGGTAAAAAAATTTTAGCTCTAATTTGTAGATATTTTCTAAATCTTAATTGGGAAATGAAATAATATGCTAGAGAACTGCTTATGTTCTTTTGTTAAATGGACGATTTAGCTCAATAATATCTTTTTAAAAAAACATTTATTTATTTGGGCATACAAGAACTGGGGTATAAGCCAAAGGTGTGAGTGCCGAGGAGTGAGAGGATTCACCAGAGACAGAGTGGGGAGCAGAACAGGCAGATCTACTGAAATACACTGCTGAGGGGAGCAGTGGGAGATCAGGAGAAAGCTGCTGTGCCCTGTGGGTCACCTCCCTGCCCGGCGATCTAATTTATGCTGCAGTGGCTGTGAAAGCTAAAAAGCATTGACTTTAATGCCTGTACCAGCAGGGAGATCCCAGTCTCATTTTACCTTTCAACAGTTCTCTTGACCATTTTACAGATGAATGTAGAAGACATAAAATACCCTATGGAAGGAGCAAAATCACTTCACTGAGTGAAAGTATTATCAGATAGTGCCCAAATATGAGAAATCCTGCCCCCAAAGAGTAATGTTTACACAGAAAGTTATAAAGTACAATTCCTTTTTTCTTCTTATAAAATTAAGAGGTACTAGCAATGCTAGCTCTATATTTATTCATTCAGGAAATACATATTAAAAAAATAACATGTGCAAAACAGAGATATGGTGCCCAGACCATCATGAGAAAACGGTATCATACCAGTAGAACTGTAAGCTAGAAGGTATTTTATTTATCATAGTATGTAGAGTATGTGAACTTTCAGGAACTTATTAAAAGGCTTTTTCAAACTACTGAAGTTAACTTGTTAGAACAATCTTGGAAATGATTCTTCAATTCTGCTTGCGTTTCCTGTGCTTGAAGTTCTCAGAACCCCCAGGATATGCAGTGCCAGCCCTATTGATCTTCCTCAGTATGAAATTCTGTCTTTTTTTGGTCATCCTGGTCATTGTGGAATTTGTCTCCTTCCTGAGGGTTGATGGTTGCAGGTAGGAAATGAAAAGTGAGAAGTATAGGTTCATTAGAGAGAAGCATCATCTTACAACTGAATTCTCAATATCTTGAGAAAAGCTTACACATTTTTGTCAGCTTCTCTGTGTTCCCTTGACTCACCCTCCCCTTCCACATAGAGAGTTTGTTGGGAGCTGAGTGCCCAGACAGAGGTGCCTGTGGCCTGTGGCAAAGACTCTCGCGTCTTGGTAGCTTTTCCCTAAGAGAGATCTGTCCTAGACTCCACTTTGAGAACTCTGTGGGGGAAATAAAGTGATGATGGAGTTGAAATGCTTACTCTCCAGTTTTTCTGCTTCTGAGGGCTATTACTATTCCTAATTGCATATTTTATGTTTTTTCCTAGAGCATGAAAACAAACAAAAATATCTGAAAGACAACTTAGATTTGACGAGATAGCACCAAAAAAAGCAACCAGTCTTCAAAATCAGTCTTCAAGCTCAACATCTAGCTCAATTGCTCTTGTTGCTCTTTGTTACCTTTTTGTTTATGAGAATCAAAGTGATAGTTGGCTAGGCCTGTTTCATACTCCTAGCCTACACACTTACATGTACATATGCAGAAGCTTGCTGTCTGCCACCTAAATGCTTAGAATGACTCATCTACTTTCCCCTTTGCCCCAGTGAGTTCTCGCTGCAAATAAGAAACAACCCCACTCCTCACCCCAAAGAGGAAGATAGTTCAGCAAAAGGCAAATAGCAATGCTATGCAGTTTGTCTACGTGGGGGAGGATGTCTTTGGATGTTGCCTCCTTCTGACTTGTTTCCACTGTAATCAATGTTGCAGTGGCCACTATAAACACTGCCCCAGTCAGCAGGTAGCTGACCACCCACACCCATAGTGATTAGTGGGGCAGTTTTATTTCTGAAATAAGAGACTGAGATTCATTTTAGCAGTACCTGCATTTTTTAAAAAATATTTATTTATTTATTTATTTATGCATACAGAACTGGGGGACAGGCCAGAGGTGCGGAGGTAGTGAGAGGATTCACCAGAGACAGAGTGGGGAGCAGAACAGGCCGAATGACAAAGTACACTGCTGAGGGGAGCAGCAGGCGGGTCTTGAGAGGTCTTCCGTTCCATGTGGGTCACCTCCAGGGCAGGCGGGGTTCGAACTCATGCTGAGGTGGTTTTAGCTTCTCAGTGCTGTGATTTAACCCACTGCACCACCAGGGAGGGCCCAGTACCTGCATTTTTAAGAAATTAGATGTTGATTCCTAGTAAGGAGCTGTTACATTCATCGGCAATTGTGCTGCAACTTTTAGAGTTTCCCTGTCTCAATTCTCTTTCTAATATACAGTGTAAATTAGAATGGATTAATGGTAGTAAGAAAAAGGGTTCTCGATAAGCTTCCAACATCTTCTAGAGCCCCTGAATACTGAAATCCTATCTTCACTGACACTGAGGATAGAAGCTACTCACTAAGGTGAAAAAGAAAGATGAAAGCATCCTGGATCCAGATGCCTGTGGAGGAGCCATCCAGAGCCTAGATGACCTATCTGTACATGTCTTTGTATGAAAAAATAAATTATTTTGTCCATGCCACTATTATTTGGGGGTTTGCTCCATATGCAGCTGAATTTAATCCTGATTGATACCAGTTTGCTAATCTCAAGGTTAGCTGTCCATCTCACAAAAATGGGTTATGTTTGATTCAGGTGCATTTTCCTGGCCCATTTTCTTTCTTCCTCTTGCAATAATGAAGTAGAGATAACTTCAGAAGATAGTAATCAAAGGGATGAGGGGCATCTCTAAGACAGTTGCGGAAGGATTGCTGGTTACTTAAGCTCAAGGTATGCTATGGGCTTATGGGGTGTGCAGAGATCATTTTATAATCAGTCTTTTGACACATGAAGACATATACATGGAGCAGAAAGATATCTGTATTATGTGCTCTTAGGGAGGGATGGATAGAAGAAGCAGAGGAACTGCATCCGTGGGCTCTATTGTGTTGTTCCATTTGAGTGGCTCCAACAGATTAATCTGAATGCATGTTCTATTCCCATTGCTTGGTTTTCTGGATGCTGTTACATTGGAAGAGTGTTTCATATATTATAAACACACATACACAGACACATATATATATATACACACACACATACACAAGTATATATGCAACAGGATTAATTTAGGTTTGAAATTGAGGGACCAACTTTAGGCAAAAAATAATTGAGAACCACTAGATGGTGCTTCAACGTAATTCTTTTAGCATTTTGAAGTAAAAAGAAACCTACTCACCTCAGACAATAATTCTGAATTTTTACTTTTTTTCCATGTAATTGTCTTTCCATTTACTAATTCTTTAGGTCTTCTTCAGTAGTTTTGAAATAATAATGGAAAGATGAGAAAAATGATTTAAATTAAAATTAAGGCGAATTGTGCTGCCACTTAATATATATGTATATATATTGCTGTTTGCTTTTTTTTTTTTTCAAGATTTATTTATTCATACAGAATTGGAGTACAAGCCAAAGGTGTAGAGGTGGTGAGAGGCTTCACCAGAGATAGAGTGGGGAGCAGAACAGGCAGGCAGATTGTTGAAGTACACTGCTGATGGGAGCAGTGTGCGGGTCAGGAGAGGTCTGCCACACCAAGTGGCTCACCTCTGGGGCAGGCTGGGATCGAATTTGCACTGAAGCGGCTATGGCCAGCTTGCAGTACTGAGTCATAACCCCTTGCACCACCAGGGAAAGTCCCTATGTCACTTAATTTTAGGAGAAACACAAAATAGGGATGGGCGTTAAATCTTGCCTAAAGGAATGGGGAAATGTGAGGCTTTCTCAGTGGTTAAGCTAGGGTTAGCACTACTCACTTAGTAGAGAGCTGCAATCACCCAGTCACTTGTTAGCGAAGAGCGCTTGCAAAAATCATGGCAGCAGATTGGGTTGAACAACAAAGACAATCTGCTTCTTGAGTCCAACCCCATCTCTCTTGCCTGATGATCTTCTAATGCTAGAAGGAAACTAAAGATAAACCAGGTCAACTTCCTCATGTTACACCAGAAGAAACTGAAATTCAACTAGTTGAGTCTATAGTTGGCTACTAAAAAACCAGTTAGAGATCCCTGCTTTGCTGGTGAGAGCACTCACAGACTGAATTTCACAGTTTAGTCTGTTGGAGTGAAAACTGGGATATATTGGGACATATGGATCACAAAGAGAAAAAATGGGTCAAACAGTCATGATGTTAAATTTCTTCAAGAAAGAATTGGACATTATTGTTAACAACTAATTGAATGTCACTATATAGCAATGACATCAAATAAAAAATGTGAGACTACAATTGCTGTGAAGATACTTTTGACAATGCTGCTTTAAATATTACTGCCTTTCTACAATCTGGAAATAAGAGAAGAGGAAGATGGGAGGAGTTTGTTTTATGAAGTAAATCACTGTTTAGAAAGGGAAGGGAGAGCCCTGGTTGTGGGATGTATTGGAGAGGTCAAGATAAAGGGAGTTTAATGATCAGTGTAATTAAAAAAAAAGTGTTCTCTCTGAACTCAGAGGTAGGAATTTTAAGGAATCCTTGAGGAATCAAGCAGCAGAAGAAACAAAAGAAAAAGTTTACTAGTCACAAATTTCAGTGATGTTGAAAAATTCATTGAAAATTTTTAGAATTCAGGATGCATCTCTGTTAATGCAATATTTACATATGATTGCCTTTACGTGATCAACGAAGCTCAGACATGAATGAAGAGGATGAAAGAGGGCAGCAGTGGGCAGAAGTCACCATAAGAACCAAGGATGACTTAGAATTGGTTTGGGGTTTCAAGTTTAGTCATCAATAGATGCATAAACCCACAGGGTTGGCAAACACTGTGGGCATCTTCAAAATGCCATGGCAGGCGCTGAACTTCCCAAAGTTGCAGTGGCCAGAATTGGAGTTGTTTGATTTCAACATAAAAGGATCAGATTTGTTTAATAATCTAGACCTCTTATATACTATTAGGAATTATAAAAGATTAGAATAGGAATTTCACTGTCTACCTATATAGTTATTATTTGAACTCTGAACTTTTAAATATACCATATCCTGGTAGCAGAGAGAAGAATAGTTTTTGAAGATCCTGGCTTGATTAGAACATTTTAACCTGCCTTCTTTGCTATGCATGTAGGCTTACAATTTTCTGAACCAAAAGAAATAAACAAAGAATGAACCAGGGATACCCAGAAATTCGTAAATTCCAAGAACATTTTCTCCTCTTCTTAGGAACCAGTGAGCTCTCTCCATTATTTTTCCTATTTTGGCTGGATGTCCAGCTGTACTTTTGGGGCAGTATTTGCTGGCCTTTATGTCCACACTGAGGGCTATACTTCTGTCTGTCACCATCTTTTGCCACATGCACCCAGACAGAGCATACAACTAAAGGGGGGACAAAGGACAACAAATTTTATTATGGGCAGAATGAAATTTGTGCCAGCAGGGTTGAGCATAGCTTTGAATTGTCTTGAGTGATTAATTAAGTAGCTTATGCATATAGCACTGTTAGATATAATATGAATAAATTCAGGCACTCACTCAGGTATTTGTTAAATACTTGGTATATATCAGACACTATTCTAAACTCTAAAAATAAAGTCAAGCAAAGTATGAATCAAAAGTCAATGAAATGTGGTTTTTGAAATTTTCATAATGAGGAAGAGAGAAATACCAGCAGATCACTACAACCCAATTTTAATGCTATAACAAAACTATACTCATTCTGATTGAATATGTACATGGCATGTAGTTCAGGAAAAGGCTTTTGATTGCAAGAAATGGAAAATAGAGCTCTGGATGAATGAAAAAGGACACAAATCATCTTACACTAGAAGATATCCAGCTTTAACGGCTCGTCAACAGCTCCTGGAAGGCCCTGTGTTGATTCCACTTCTCTGTTCTGCCATCATCTGCGTTGGTTTCATCCTTGGTAGATAGTGAGAATAAGGCAGCCTTGCCAAGGTCACAGTCAGGTAGAGCACGCCCAGAGGAGGAGGACTGACCATGGCTTCCCCAACCCCCATCTCACTGAGAGTCCTCTTATGGCCATTCTCCTGTCTGAATGACATGGCCACGTGACAGTTCTTTACTGAATCTCTAGCAAAGCTTATGCTGCCTGGACCAGTGCAGCTGGGCTTAAGTCTGTATCTTTCACCAGCGACATGGTGGGGAGCAGAGAGAGCGAAGATGTGAACAAAAGTGGGGTCTTGCTAAAAAAGTAGACTGGAGAACTCATGTAAAGCTAGGATGAAGAAGTTGACAACAGTCCAACTGCATTTTAAAAGATGTGTGGGAATGTTGCCTCTCAGGCGGACCAGGGCAGGGAGAACGGCATGCTAGAAAGAGGCCAAGGTGGGAGGGGGAGCATTGCAATATGGTCTGACTGTTTTAGGGTAATGAGGAAACTGTCCACAGTGTCTCTTCACACAAGTTCTACATTTCATGAAGTCAACTGGGGACAGTAGACTGCTATTGTTTTAAGAATGCCAGCAGAGTTTTGCAGATCCAGCAAATCTTGAATTTATAATGTTTGCTGAACAGAATGTCCAAATCCTCTGACTGATTCACCCAGCACAGACTTTTAGATCCTATGAGGAGCCAAGAACATTGGTTTATACACAGTGGAGAAGCAGTGGCCAGGGAGCTCGGCCTGGAGAGGTGTGGGTCTGCTTGATGGTGTCACTGATCTCAGGAGGGTGGTGGCTCAGTTGCTGAACAGGGTCACGCTGGCAGACTTGAGACACTTCTCCTTTTCTTAGTTTCTCTTCATGAAATATGAAAATAATTCTTGCTCTTTCCCACTTGAATAGAAAGTTTTGAAGGTGGTTATGCTCGTTATTCACCCCCTGCTTTCCAGTGCACACAAAGATGTGTAGGAAAATCTTGACATGTACTCTCCCCAAAAGTTCCTCTCCCACATGTGCATGCCACAGACATATTCCCATTTCCAGTCATTCTGCTGCACCCACATACTGAGAGCTCTTTAGAGGTACAATAATCACTGAGAGGAAATAAATGATCGTCTCCACATCTGTTGAGGGAAGCCATGGGACTAACCAAGAGCAACTTGAGAACTTTACAAGTAAAGGGGGGAAAAAGGCTCAAAATGCTCAAAATTAGAAAAACAAATGTAAAGAAGAAACATTACAGCAGAAGTCATGAAGTTCTGCCAATGTGAAGACTATTAATGGCAGAGAATGAACAGCTTCCCCAATTGCTGTGGCTTGCCTTTCAATAACAGCGTGGAGCCCCTGGGAAAGCCAGGCTGGATACAAGCTGGGTATCATTCACTTGCTCTTGCTTCTGAAGAGGATGTACATGCTTGCACACAGCACATCTTTTCAGCTTCTCTTTTATACTATCTCTGTTATAAAAACAGAGTAAGAGACCTTTGATAAGGGTGGTTTGTGGCTGACACAAGAGTTTTACTACATTTCTGAGAGGCATCTGGCCTGCAGATTCCTGGGCTTCCCTGAGGGCCACAGCACTGGAAAGGAGGTGTGTCTCGTCCTTGTTGGGAGCCTTATGGGCAGGTCATGCTGTTGGAAAGACTAATTTTGTTTGTTGCTGTTGGCCTTGGGAATAGATACATCATTTCTATAGACCCCAGTCTGGGGAAGATGGGAGCCGCTCCAGTTTATGTATCTTAGTCTGACTGACAGCTTACATGTTGCTCACTACTCATGCACTGCAACTTAAGGCTTTGGCTGGAGATTACTATCTATGACATAAACACCTTGAAAAAACTCACTGACTTTCTCATAGTCTGTGTAATGGAAAAATCACAACACTCCACCATACCTCTTACGAGACATTGAAATCAAAGCACAATCCAAAATGTCACTTCAGGGAGCTACAGCAAATGACTGTACTAGAAAGAGTGATTAAACAAATAGCACTGTAGTAAGAGGCATCTGTCTTTTGTCAGTTTCCCTAAAGTGTCATAAAATGTGCAGAGGAAGGCAACCATTTCAGTGAGAGCAAGAAGGCCAACTGTTTGTAACATTTTCCATCATTCCCTTACAAATAAATCCCAAATCCTATTACTTTCCAGCTGCCTATCAAAGGAGGGTGTTTGCTGATGCAGCCCCCAAAAAGTGTGATCTCCATCCCCGTAACCCATGGCAGCGCCTGTATCCTGAGATGATGAAATGCCAGAGCCTAGGGAAGACCTGGATGAGAAACCTAATGCCTCTGCCAAAACTGCTGGGTATTTAAATTTTTAATTTTTTAAATTTTACATGTTTTCATATTTCTATCCAAAACATGTTTTCCTTGGCAGCTTCCCCAGAGGACCATGAAGTCATAAGGCAGGGACTATCCAACTCTTACTTCTGCAGGACGGTCAAACAGACTTGCACATCACAGCTGGTCTTGGGCAGGGACTCTGAGCAGCGGAAGCCATTGAATAGAATGCACCACACACCACACATTGCGAACCGCTGGACAGTTCGTCTTTAGGCTGTCGTCAAGTCTGAGGGTGAGGCTCTCAGTGTACATGGAATCACTACAGCTCTTAGCTTCTCGTGGTCCATAGTGTTCTACTTTTCTAGGCGGCTAGGAAGTGTATCTTTATCACAGCACTTTCTAATTATGGCTACCTTCTCAGTGGGCCTCCCATTATGCCCATTTCTCTCATTCCTATCATTGCATTCACTATCTAGCTTTTCCAGAAATTTCTCCCCAGCCATTCCTCGTACCTGACTTTTTCTACCTGAACTCTGCTGTTCCTCCTGCAGCAAACACTCAAAAGGCTATTGCTGCCTTTTGAAAGACTGCCTCTCTCCAAAACCTCTGTGAAACCTTCTCAGATACTTTGTGTCAAGCTAGGCATTGCCCGGTTGCAGTGCTTCTTTACATAATCGTCCATGGACTATTGACAACTGTGGCTTTACTATCTTTGTGTATACATGTCTCCAAACACTAAATTGGGAGATCCATGGTGCAGATGTAAGGTATTAATCATTTTGATATCTTCCAAACTTCTTCTCAAACTGTCTTCCAGATAGGGTTAATTATTAGTAGCATAAGAAATATGTAACATTTGAATTTAAACATTCAAAATAATAAATACTGGCAAAAGTAAGATGACTAAAGTGATACATAGGATTATTTGACTACAGAAGTAAAGGAAGCATTACATGACAAAGTTAAAGGGAAAGAAAGGGAGAAAATATCTGCAAAACATAAGAAAATATTATGACTTTAAATACATTAATTCCACAAACACTATCTCTCATTGTCTGCCTGTCTGCATCACAAAGTCTAACACTAGATCCTGGGTAGGCAAGTTTACTTGAAAAATCATGGCATTTACCCACTGGTTAGCAAACTAAGTGTCTTATATTTTCTGGGTAAACAGGGGAAAGAAATACTCTGTCTCCCCCCACCAAAGACCCAGAAGGTGGATTTATTTGTTTATGCAAACAAGAACTGGGATCCAGTCCAGAGGATTCACCAGAGACAGAATAGGGAGCAGTACAGGTAGAAGTGCTGGAAAACACTGCTGAGAGGAGCAGCAGGCAAGACAGAAGAGGTCTGCTGCACCATGTGGGTTACCTCCTTGACCGAGAATTGAACTCATGTTGCAGTGGCTGTGGATATCTTCATAGTATTTCATCTAAACCCCTTGAGCCACCAGGGAGGCCCATAAAAGCATTTTGATAAATTAGAGATGAGCCATTACCTATAGTTGCCAGGTCTACTGTCCTTCTTGAAGAGCCCAAAGGTAATTGGTAGAGATTCCTCTTTGACTAGAGAGTGACTCATGGGAGAACTTGATTTTGCTTCCCTTATCTTGTTGAATCTTTAGTTCCTCAAACTTTTCTGTCATGAAGAAACAACAATGAAGAATGAGACCATTTGCTTTCCACCAAGATTGCATGCTCCTGGAAGACAGGAACTTGGTCTTCTTTGTAAGTTTCTTGCCAGCAGGATGAACAAGTATTACTTTTTAAATAAATATGTTGAACAGACATCTGAAGTCTGCTAAAAATAAAATTGGCTTCAGGATCCGTACTTCTACCTCTGTGGTCTCATTGTACAAACATATGTTTTAGATCTCAGGCTATTCAAGACATGTGTTCCGATCTATTATTTATAATAAATTGAAATGGAAAATGCAACAAAAAGCTTAAAGAATTTGCCTGAAGACTACAATTAGAACACAAGCAGTGAGATGGCCAGGTTTGGGACCTCGAAATAATCAAGAGATAGTAATTTAGGCCAGACGATTTATGATTCTGTAGTGGACTTTTCCTTTTTCATTTTTATTTTTCCTCTGTATAATTTACCCTGAAGAAAATCTAAGTTGTTGGGCTCAAATTTTGTTAAAACTTCAAGCACTGTTTTTATATGTATGATGGAATGATTCCACACTTTGAGTTAGCTACATATATCACCTCACCTAGTTAACATATTTTTTTGTAAGAGCATTTCAATTTCATTCTTAGCAAATTTCAGTTACACAAAAGTAGCTATTAAACAGTCACCATGTTATATATTAGGTCTGCTGATCTTGTTTAGTTTATATGTTCTCAATCTCCATCCTCTTTCAAGTGTTTATCGACTCTTGTTTCTGTGAGTTTCACATTAAAAAAAACTCTGTGTAGATGATATGCAGGTTGAACTTCTCCGTGCCTCTTATTATTCATAGCACAATGCCTTCCAGCTTCATCCATGTTATGCAAATAATAGAATTTCTTTTTTTAAAAAGCCAGAAATCCCTTTGCAGGTAGATACCACATTTTCTAGCTCATCTGTCCATAGACACTTTGTTTGTTTGTTTTTTGGCTATTGTGAATTGTATGCCATGGACATGGAAGTAAAGATTTATTTGAGATAATAATCTTGTTTCCTTTGGATATATACTCAGAACCAGAACTACTGGATCATGTAGTAAATAGAACATTGTAGAACAACTGTTCTATTTACAATTT